AAAAAAAAAAAAGAATAATAAGGAGAGTTACTCCAAAACTAAATGGTCTACCTTCATTCATTAGCAAACACGTGTGTTTAAAAAAGGTATCCCAGTTTAATGAAGGTTTCAAGGCATCCAGATTACCACCACAGAAAAGATCCCTCTCAGAAACCCAGTGCAGGCAATTACCGAAAATCTAGGTGGGCTGCTAACTTCAGGACAGTTTGAACACTAAAGTGGAGGTAGGAGTAGGGAGGATGTAAGTGGTGGTGTCAGCAGTGGGCCGTAGAGGTGCAGTGGGGCCAGTAATGGCATCAAGTAGGTTCAACAACAGGAAGCAGGGACTCATTTACTGGTCAGAGAAACAGGGTAAAGGCCTTGGAGCTGAGGCGTAGTTCTTGAGACATGGATCCAGTTTTCAAGTCATCACTGAAGAAAAATCACAGCATCAAGAAACATTATTTGAAGAGTCAAGAGCTTGGGCAGGATCATCAAAATACTGACTTAATGCAGAGCCACTTGATGATTGACCGTAGGTGTCTTTTTTGTTTTTTTGGTGGGAGTGTACCAGAGATTGAACTCAGGAGCACTTGAGCACTTGAGCCACATCCTCAGCCCTATTTTGTATTTTATTTAGAGACAGGGTCTTACTGAGTTGCTTAGTGCTTTGCTTTTGCTGAGGCTGGCTTTGTATTCACGATCGATCCTCCTGCCTCCACCTCCCCATCTGCTGGGATTATAGGCATGTGCCACTGCGCCTGGCAAGTGTAGATATTTTATACCTGCTGATGTAATTGGTCCTGTGGCTGTAGCATGCTTGTGGGAATGAAAAAAATGCTACTGGAGATCAGAGAGGATCTAGCACATGGAACTTCATAATTCGTGAATTATGTGTACATGTTAAGAGTGTCAGTGGAATGGTTTCCTAGTGTCTTCCTCCTCTTGTAATTGCTCACTTGGTTTTACTCACCCATTGATCATCACTCTGTTCTTTTTCACTGGTAGCCCAGTTTTCAAGGTGGGGAGTTAGGGCTGAGCCCCATCCAGAGCTCCAGACTGATGGTAGGGCCTTAAGAGTTTCTGGTTAGATAAATCCATGCACTCTAGTTAATGGAAATTCCTTGTAGGAATGGAGTTCTACAACCATTTATTAATTCTCTCTCCTCAGGGACTAGAACTCAGCTTCTGAACATAGCCTTGGCCAGACCTCTTAGCAGCTCTGTCTCTGTACTTCCTAAAACTCAAGGTTCCGCCACCAGTTCCTACCAGCGCATGGATCTTACCTCAAAATCGTCTAAACTTTTCCTACCACGTTTAGGCTCTGGAATGATTCTTTTGCTTTTCAGTACTATTGGGCAGGTTTGGATCTAGATCTAGAGATTCCGGCTCCTTGCTGTCTTCCTTTTTCTTTTTTTGGTGCTAGAGATTGAACTCAGAACCTCACGCAGACTAGGCAGACACTCTACCCCTGAGCTACAATCCCAACCTTGTCCCCCTCCCCTTTTTTTTAGTGTTTCTGTTAGCACATTATAGCTTTATGTAGCAGTGGGGTTCATTTTGGCATATTCATAAATGTGTACCTTTCCTCCCATTTTTCAACAAATTCAGCTCCATTTGAAATAGGATTTTTCTCACAAGAATTGGGAAAATATATTTTATGAAAGCCAGAGGACTTGATTAACAGGAACTAACACTGAAATCTGATAAATTTACGTTCTGCAGTCTGAGATAATAATGCTCACACTGTTCTATAATATGGGCGTACGTGACAGACAATTCCAGGAGTAGAAGAAATGTCTCCCATTCTCTGTGGTGGGAGAGGTGGACAGGTGTCGTGCCAGAGCCTCCAGTAGCCCACATACAAGCAAACTATGATTATGACCCAAGAAGCTGTGATTCACAATCTAAGCTTTTATTACCTTCATGTATTACATAAATATAGAACTTTTTTGTTTAGTAGACCTGTAGCATGCATCTAAAAATCCTTGCACTGGCATGCATGAGGCCCTGGGAAAAGGAAATTCTTGCACTGCCACATTGCTAACCTTTTATAAGAAAAATCAAGTTTTATTCTGAGACTGTGTTTGTGAACCATATCTGTCCAGCAAGAGGAAGCCAAGTTGAGCTCTGATCTTGCAAGCTCTCCGCAGCATCTGGCACTGTTGCTCTTCTGCCCCTTCTGTAAGCTTTGCCTCTTGAGTTCCAAGACCCCAGAGTCTGGCTTTCTATTTTCCTTTCTGGCTCTTCTTCATCTCACTCCTTAGGGTTTTCTTCCCTCTCCCTTTCATTAGGGTTCTACCGTGGTTCCTCTTTTCTTTCCTCCAATGCACCTTTGGTCTCATCCACCCTTACTGTATTAGTTTCTGATGACTTCTAGGTTACCCATTTCTTTTTTTGGTACTGGAGATTGAACTCGGGCACACTTTACCCTGAGCTACATCCCGAGTCCTTTTTATTTTGAGATAGCGTTAGGTTGCTGAGACTGGCCTCAAACTTGCAGTCCTGCCTTCCATAGCCTCCCATGTTGCTGGAATTATGGGTATGAGCCACTGTGCTGGCCAGATACCCATTTCTGATGCCAACATATCTTGAGCTGCAGGCCCTCATCCATCCTGACACTAAAGATACCCAGGCACCTTTTAAGACCTTGTCTTTATTTTTAGAATTCTGTGTGTGTGTGTATTTTAAATTTAATTGGTTTTTGTTTGGTACTGGGGATTGAGCCCAAGGGCACTTTACCTCTGAGCTACATTCCCAGCCCTTTTGGATTTTTTTATTTTGAGACAGGGTCTTGGTACATTGCTTTGTCCTGGCTGAGTTGCAGAGGCTGGCTTCAAACTTTGATCCTTCTGTCTCAGCCTCCCAAATCTCTGTGATTATGGGTGTGCCCCACCTACTGCTTGTAGCTTTCTTTTTTTTTTTTTTTTTTAAAGAGAGAGTGAGAGGGGGAAAAGAGAGAGAGAGAGAGAGAGAGAATTTTTTTTTTAATATTTATTTTTTAGTTCTCGGCGGACACAACATCTTTGTTGGTATGTGGTGTTGAGGATCGAACCCGGGCCGCACGCATGCCAGGCGAGCGCGCTACCGCTTGAGCCACATCCCCAGCCCCTGCTTGTAGCTTTCTTAAATAAATTTTATTAAATTCTTCTCAATGCTATGATTTTTTTTCCCCCCAGATCTCACATTTTGGATTCTGGCTGTCTTAACATGAGTGACACTTTGACATTAGATGTCATTGGTCAAAGAGTTGAAGTAAATGGAGAATATGCAACAGTGCGTTTTTCTGGCGTTGTCCCTCCTGTGGCAGGTAAGTGGGGTGTATGTGTATGTGTGTATGTGTGTTGCAGTTTTTTCTGTGTAGGATTCTCAGTAGCACTTTTTTTTTTTTTGGTACTAGGGATTGAACTCAGGGATACTTAACCACTGAGACACATCCCCAGCCCTTTGTTGTATTTTATTTGGCAACAGCATCTCACTGAGTTGCTGAGACTGGCTTTGAACTCGAGGTTCTACTGCTTCAGCTTCCTGAAGACTCTGTAGATTGTAGATGCTGGGATTATAGGTGTGCACCAATGCACCTAGTTCAGTAGCACTTTTTAATATCAATTTTTGGGAAATTAACCACCAATTATAGACACTTACCCATAATAGTTTTATTTGGTTGACGATATCATGTGGTACACATAGTTTTGTTTAATTATATGCTATTTAATTATTTAGTACTTCTGTTTTATATTAAATCAACCATAAAATGTTATCTGAGGAAATTTTAAGCAATCAAAAGTCTTGAACTCTTATAATTTGCTACTCAAAAAATAAATAATTTTTCTACAAAGTCCTTTGCCATTAATCTATATGTAAATGTATTTATTGTAAACTAATATACATGCAATTTATGTCACCTATTTTCATTTATTTGATGTATAATTACATGTTTCTATAAAAAGCATTTTAGATGGGGTTATTTATTTATTTATTTAAGTTGTAGGTAGACACAATTCCTGCCTAAATATTTGAGTATTTTCTGTATGTTCTGAGCTGGCCTGAGTGGGTACAGGCAGACTCAGTGAGAAATTTAAATCAGAAGTTCTCAGTGTGTGGCCCCTAACTAGAATCAGCTTCATCTGATTACTCCTTAGAAATGTAGATTCTTGAGCTTCACCTTATATCTACAAATACTCTGGGAGCAGAGCCCAGCAATTTTGTGTTTCAAGAAGTTGTCCAGGGCCAGGCATGGTAATACATGCCTATAATTCAGGAGATTGAGGCAGGAGTATTGTAAGTTTAAGGTCAGTCTCAGCAATTTAGCGAGACCCTGTCTTAAAAAGGACTGGGGATGTAGCTCAATGGTAGAGTGCCCTTGGGGTTTTATTCCTAGTACTGCTAAAAAAAAAAAAAAAAAAAGTAGTTCTGGGGTGGGGCTGTGGCTCAGCGGTAGAGTGCCTGGCACATTCAAGGCGCTGAGTTTGATCCTTAGCACCACATAAAAATAAATAAATAAAATAAAATATTATGAAAAAAGAAAAAGTAGTTCTCTAAGGGGATTATAGCTTAGAGGTAGAGTGCTTGCCTAGTATGCACAGGCCCTGGATTATTTTACCCTCAGCATCACAAAAAAATAAAAATACAGCCTTCCAGAAGATTTTTATGTGCATTAAGTTTTTTTTTTTCTTTTTTTTGGTGGGGGGTGGGGGATGTGGGGATACTAGAGATTAAACTCAGGGGCCCTCAACGACTGAGCCACATCCCCAGCCCTCTTTTATGTTTTACTTAGAGACAGGGTCTCACTAAGTTGCTTAGTGCCTCACTTTTTGTTGAGGCTAGCTCTGAACTCATAATTCTCCTGCCTCAGCCTCTGGAGCTGCTGGGATTACAGGCATGCACTACCATACTGGCTGTGCATTAAGTTTTAGTTTGAACCCCTGCGTAGATCACTGTGACTCTGCCTTCATGGAAATTGCCATGAAAGGCTTTAAACAAGCATGTAAGATGGAGAAGGGGAAGGGGGTCCTCCTTCTGCCTCCATTTGACTGGGATGATTGATAAATGGGAAGAGAAAGTAACATTTAAATAATAATGACTGTGTGCCAGGTTCTGTCATGTATGCCCTCTATTTTGAATATTATAGTAACAACCTTAAGATATGGATATATATATGGATATATAGAGAGATTTGGTCTCTACCAAGTCTCAGATCTCAAAACTTCCATATAGCAGAACTCAAATATGAGTCTGCTTCAGAGCCCATGCCATTTCTACTCTGTTGCTTTCCAAGAACATACATATTCTCTAGGTACATATTATATAGGCAGATTGCCATCTGCAGGTTGAATCAATGTGCAGTACTTGGAAATTTTTAATACCCAAGTTCTTTGCAAAGCAGAATGGGGTAGAGATTTGCATCCAGAAAGCTCAATGTTCAGAAAGCTCATTAGGAAGCAATACTTATGGAAGGATTGGGCAAAAGGATTAGGTGGGCTGTTGCAATCCTCCTGCCTGAGCCTTCCTAGTCACTGGTCTTAACAAAGGGCTCGGCATTCCCCTTTGAGAGCTCTGATGTTAGAGGTCATCTGGTGGAATTGTACAAAGATGTAGACAGAGTGAAAACACATTTAGTCATTACTCTCAGGGGTATTTCACCAGATGTAGTTGTAGGGCCATCATGGCAGCTAAATGCATTGATGTGTTTAAAGCCAGTCATTAGACCAGTCATTGATCATATTGTTAGCCATTGTTATAAGTAAACATTTAAAAAAATTACTTAGGAACAAATTCTAATGTTTTACAAATGGATTCTTATGACTGGATATAATTTCCTGTGGTAAGCATTACTGTAGATTACAGAGTGTTATGCATGAAAACTGTTAAGATGGAGGTAAAGATGGGCTCCTGTGGGAGGCAGATAATGGTATTCCAAAGATGTCCCCAAAACCTGTGGTTATGCTAAGTTACATGTCAAAGAGGGTTAGGGCTGCAGGTGGAATTAAGTTTGCTAATTGGCTGATTTTAAGATTGGAAAATTATACTGGTTCATCCAGGTGGGCCTAGTGTAATCATAGGAAGCATTAGAAGCTGAAGAGAAGGCAGAAGAGGCATTAGCATTGTCAGTGAAGTGATGTGGGATGATTCACTAGCCACATCTCACCTTGAATGTGGAAGAAGGTCACAAGCCAGGGATGTGTGCACCCTCTACAGCTTTGAGAGCTGCCCTGGTATGATAAGGAAGCTGTCAAGAGTGTAAGGTTCATTCTTCTGGTCTGTTTTTTTAAATGGCAAATAGCATGTAGAGGCCATAGTCTGAGGTCCAGAGGTACTCACTGCTACCAGGATGATATTGTTTCCAGGCATTTTTAGTGAATAGAGATATATCTGGAGGATTCTTCTTAGAAATAGAATAGATTTAAGGAGGGTTTATATGTATTTATTATAAGTTTTCAAATGAGAGAAAAGGAGAATAGTGTAATGAACACCTGTGTTTACTTGTCATGTCTGTTTAACAATCGTCAGCATTTTGCCATATTTGTTTTATCACTATTTTTGCTTAATGTGGTTTTCTTTTTTCTTTCTTTCTTTTTTTTTTTGGCATTAGGGATTGAACCCAGGGGTGCTTAACCACTGAGCCACATCCCTAACCCCTAACCCTGCACTCCTGTTGTTTTTTGTTTTTTGGGGTTTTTTTGGTGGTTCTGGTGCTGGTGATTGAACCCCCAGAGCATTATGCTTGCTAGGCAAGCACACTACCAACTGAGCTATATCCCCAGCCAGCCTAGCCCTTTTTTTAATGTTTTCTTTAGAGACAGTCTCACTGAGTTGCTTGGAGCCTTGCTAAGTAGCTGAGTCTGGCTTTGAAGTTGCAATCCTCCTGCCTCAGCCTTCCTAGTCACTGGGATTACAGGCATGTATCACCACACCCTGCATTGCTTAACATTTTAAATTATATGCATTGTAGAATTTTTATCCCTAAATTCTCACTGTACATTTTCTTACAAATAAGTACATCTTCTTACAAAATAATATGTACATTTTATACTTAAATTTTTTTGACTCATTCAGTTTAGGTTATTAAAATAGCTTTGCACTATTAAAAAATATATATTTTTAGTTGTAGATGGACACAGTACTTTTATTTATTCATTCATTCATTCATTTATGCATGCAGTGCTGAGAATGGAGCCCAGTGCCTCACACATGCTAGGCAAACACTGTACTACTGAGCCACAACCCCAGCCCTAGGACTCCTCTTTTTTTTTTTTTTTAAGGACTCCTCATTTTTAACATTCTCCCTATTTGATTCTAGTGCCCATGCTTTGAGAGGGGTTGTTTTTATCCTTTAGGAAGTGCTAATATTCTGGTAAAAAGTGAAATCACTAGAAAGCCACATAGAACCTCTGGGCCCTCTCTCTAGCTGCCTTTGCAGAACTGAGCTTTTTACCCTAAGCCCTGTTGAGGCCTATGTGAGACACAGCTTCTGTGAAACATCTGTGAACTGATGATGTTGCTGTTTCTGAAAGTAGCTTGCTCCTTACAAAGGGACTACTGTGACAGGAGCTGAGCTGTTGGCTCAGGAAAAGGAAGGATATCTTTTCTAATGAACTGAAAGGATTCTAACAGTGGTCAAAAGAATTGCATCTTGCTGTAAGGAAGCTCAGAGCCACATCTTCATTACTCTTTCTCAGTTATTCTATTCTAATGATTTTTCCACCCCCCCTTTTTTGTTGATGATTTTTGATCTTTCAGTATTATGTTTTTCTTTCTCCTTGAAGTGTTTGTGTTTTTTTAAATTGTGTTTTACAGCTTCTTTGAAAACATCCTCAAGTTATAGGTTATAAAAACAAAAGGCTATCTTCAGAGGCATTGGAAGATATGAACTCGAGACTGTGTAGGGTGATGTTGAAACCAAACTGCTTTGTAATTTCCAAGAGCCTGAGATTGTTTTACAGTAATATTGAAATAACATGATTCCAGATATTGGAGTATAGAAAATTTATTTTGGTAATGAGCTGTTATCCATACTCCAAAGCCCTTAGGGGAGTGCCTTTTTGAGTGTAATGTGAAATTAAAAGAGAATTAATCTGGGGCTGGAGTTGGTAAAACACTTGCCTTCCACACTTGGCATACTGGGTTCGATCCTCAGCACCACATTAATAAATAAAATAAAGGTATTATGTCCATCTAAACATTTAAAAAAAGAGAATCAGATAAGCAATGCTGCTTAATGAGGGTGTTTAGTCTGAATTGCTCAGATTTACATCACTTAAATGTAGTTACATGTTTTTTTAAAAAACAAATGTTAGTTGTCTCAGGAGTTGGTCAGTCCAGGAAGCCAATGAGCAGAGAAACAACAAAGCTAAGGTTGGCACTGCCCATCCTCATCTTTTTCAGAGGTCTCAGTCCATATCGGCTGACTGCATTGCTCTGGAACCAAGGTGAGGCAGAACATCGTGATGGAAGAGGAAGGCAGCTCAGGACATTGACAATCAGAAAACAGAACGAGAAAAAGCTTCTCTCTCACCAGGGACAAAATGTATACCCAAAATATATATGTTATACAAAATGTATAACAAAGTGTACTCCCAGTGACCTGCCTCCTCCAGCCACACCTACCCAGTTATCACCACCCAGTTAACCCTGTCAGTAAGCTAATTCACTGATTAGGTTAAGGTTCTCATGACAGTCATTTGCCTCTAAAGTTTCTTGCATGATATCACACTTGAGCTTTTGGGGATACCTCATATCTAAACCATAACAGATAGTTAAGGAAATCACAGTGAAGGCTGGTCTTGCCCCTTCTACCTGTTTCAGCTGAAAAATGACTTATTCTTCATCAGGTGAAAGAATGGCCTTGTGAATTGCTTTCTTGTTAACAACCATCAACTCAACCTATTCTGAGAATTTTCTTGAAGAACATAGTTATAATTACTTCTCACATAACAGCTTATTATTTGACAAAAAATGGATTAGAGCCAGGCATGGTGGTGCACACCTGTAATCCCAGTGGCTTGGGAGGCTGAGGCAAGAGGATCCCAAGTTCAAAGCCAGCTCAGCAATTCAGCAAGGCCCTAAGCAACTCAGTGAAACTGTCTCAGAATTTAAAAATAAATAAATAAAAAGGGCTGGGGATATGTCTCAGTGGTTAAGTGCACCTGAGTTCAATCCCTGGTACCAAAAAAAAAAAGGGTTTAAAAAGCAAAAGATTTGAGGCTGGAGATGTGGCTCAAGCGGTAGCACGCTTGCCTGGCATGCGCAGGTCTCTGGGCTCGATCCTCAGTACCACATAAAAATAAAATAAAGATGTTATGCTCACCAAAAACTAAAAAAAAATATACATTGAAAAAAAAATTCATTCTCTCTCTCTCTCTTTAAAAAAAAAAAGCAAAAGATTTGTGTATTTTGGGCATGCTAGGCCATGATCTGGTCTTTATTTGTAGTGTTATTCAGCAAATTAGATGTTTTCTCTGAGCTTTTATTCTTTAAAACAGATCATTTATGGGCTGGGGATGTGGCTCAAGCGGTAGCGCGCTTGCCTGGCATGCGTGCGGCCCAGGTTCGATCCTCAGCACCACATACCAACAAAGATGTTGTGTCCGCCGAGAACTAGAAAATAAATATTAAAAATTCTCTCTCTCTCTCTTTCTCTCTCTCTCCTCTCTCACTCTCTCTTTAAAAAAAAAGAGTCTGTCTTTAAATAACTGAATAATAAATAATGCATTTTAAAAAATAAATAAATAAAACAGATCATTTCTGCCTTGCTTATTAACATGGTTCTTGGGAGAAGAGAGATGAGGCACAAGTTCTTTGGGGTGCTTTACCAGAGTTTTTAGTCAGGCCCCAGCCAGTTGTTCAGCCACTTTCCTCATCTTTAATCTAGTTTTCCTGACCATGCTCCTGCCCCAGACTCTGGGCAACACTGACCCCAACTGTGCTGGATGATTTCTGGTTCCCACAACAGGTCCTGGGATCTCCCTGCCTTGGCCTCCATTTCCCCCCACAGCAGTACCAATAAGCACCCTTATCTGTGCTCCCATAGCACCCGTACTTTCCTTTATGCTAGCCGCTGGTCTACAAGTCTGTCCTGCAAGATGACTGAGGTGCTGTAGGGAAGAGACCACTTGTTTGTTTTCTGTCTTGATTTCTCTCCATTGTCGTCTGTCTCCTCCTGCTTGCTGTAAGTTTGATTTTCTAGTTTTACCTTCAAGCCCTGAACATTTTGAGACAGATGATTTATTTTCAGTTGTCATCCAACTTATGAATCTAAACACAACTTTAGGCTGCATTCCACAAATTTTCACGTGTAGTCTTATGTCATTCTGTTCAAAATAGTTTCTAGTTTATGTTGTGATTTTTTTTTTTTTTGGACACAAAATGATTTAGAAGAATATTGCTTAATTTCTAAACATGAGGATTTTCCTTTTTGGTACTTGGAATTTAATCCAGGGGCGCTTAACCACTGAGCCACATCCCTAGTCCCTTTTATTTTTTATTTTGAAACAGAGTCTTGCTAAATTGCTGAAGCTGTCTTTGAACTTGTGATCTCCTACCTCAACCTCCCAGGCTGCTGGGATTACAGGCATGTGCCACTGCACTTAGCTGTTCTGATTGAAGTTCTGAGCGTAAGGTTAAGTTGTCTATTCCCAAGACATTCTTCCTCCCTCAGTATTGTCTGCGGGATGTGGTTTCCATTACAAATTGTATTTACTTGCAGGAAAGTGGAGCATCCCTCTGTCATCCTTTGTTACTCATTTGTTTTTTCTTGTTCTGCTAGGACTCTGGTTAGGAGTGGAATGGGACAATCCAGAGAGAGGAAAGCATGATGGGAGCCATGAAGGGATTGTGTACTTTAAATGCAGGTAACTTTCATTCTCAGTTGGCTTGGTCATTTGGTCAGGATCCTGTTGAAGCATTGAATGGGAAGGATGGAGAAGCAACAGCATTGTTTGGTTCATAGGGTGGTTATAGGTACAATTTGGGAAACATTCTGAAAAGACACCTCTTTGATTTGTGATTTAATCATGCTGTTTGTAGAGTTTTTCCCTCTTTTAAATCAACACTTTATTTTTGTACTGGGCATTAAACCTCCTAGGGTACCCTATCCATGAGCTACATTCTCAGCCCTTTTTATTTATGTATGAATTTATTTTGAGACAGAGTCTCTCTAAATTGCTGAGGCTGGTTGGCCTCAAACTTGTGATCCTCCTCCCTCAGCCTCCTGAATCACTGGAATTACAGGTGTGTGCCACTGTACCCAGCTTAAATTCTGACTCTTAACTTTCCCTGTGGGATTGCTTTGTCTTTTTCCTTTCCTTTTTTTTTTCTCTGTTTTGTGGTACTGGGAATTAAACTCAGGGGTGCTCTGCCACTGAGCTACATCTCCAACCCTTTTTCTTTTTTCTTTTTTTTTTTTAAAGAGAGAGTGAGAGAGGGGAGAGAGAGAGAGAGAGAGAGAGAGAATTTTTAATATTTATTTTTTAGTTCTCAGCGGACACAACATCTTTGTTGGTATGTGGTGCTGAGGATCGAACCCGGGCCACACGCATGCCAGGCAAGCGCGCTACCTCTTGAGCCACATCCCCAGCCCCCTTTTTATTTTTTTTCAAGAAAGGGTATTGGTAAGTTGTGCAGCCTGGCCTCAAACTTGCCATCCTTCTACCTCAGCTTCCTGGGTAACTGGGATTTTAGGTGTGTACTACCATACCCAGACTTTTTTTTTTTTTTTTTTTTTTTGCCTATGTGTGTTTTTATGTGTGTGATAATGGGATTGAACTCAGGGGCCTCACACGTTAGGCAACTAGTCTACCACTGAGCTATATACCCAGAATCAGATCCGTAGGCTTTTTTTCCTTTCTTTTTTGGGGTGGCTGCAGGTAACTAGAGATTGAACCCAGGGGCACTTAACCACTGAGCCATGTCCCGGCCCTTTTTATTTTTTATTTTGAGATAGGGTCTTGCTAAGTTGCTTAGGCTTTGCTAAATTGCTGACGCTGGCCTCAAACTTGTGATCCTCCTGCCCCAGCCTCTCAAGTCACTGGGGTTATAGGCGTGTGCCACCATACTCAGCCTTTTGTGCTTTTTTGACTGTTTCTTTTTAATTGGGTTACTATAAATCTCAATGATGCAGTAATTTACACTCATTAAGTGAATAATGGAGGTGAGAATTAGCCTAATATTTAGTAAGAAGAAATTGATTTTATAAAATCCAGAATATCCATTCTGTAGTGGAATGATGAGCCAGCATTTAAAGTTTCTATCTAAAGCGAGTCACATATGATTTCATGTGTCTACTTACATACTTAACTGCCTGATGTTGGAGAAATTGCTTGAAGCTCTGAGCATGGTAGCTTTCAGACAGAGCCATCTTCTACGCTTCTGTCATTTGTTTTCCTGACTCTTAGTGTCCCACAAGGATCTCTTACTATCAACCCATTTTCCTGAAGCATTGAGCAAAATGCTGGCCTAGGAATTGGAAGCCTCTTGACTGCTTTTTCATCTTCCTGACCCTGAGGGAGACCAGACTTCATCTGAGATGAAGACCAGAATCAGATAGCAAATACTTTCTGGTTCACCATTTCCTAACTTAGAAAGTCAGGTTCGACAAGCCAGCTGTTTTCCCAAGGCTACAGTCAGCAGAGGCTTAAGATAACAGTGTGTGTGTGTTTAGCCAGGTGTGGAAATAGAGACATCTCAGCCAGGACCAAGGCCCCCCAGTCCCTGCAGTGAGGGACTGTGCATTTTGAGTCTGCCCCAGCCCAGTTCCCTTTTCTAAAAGCTTGTCCGAATGATCGTTGGCTACACGGTCCCTGGTAGTCTCTGGATACAGCCATAGTGTCAAAGTCTTGGTCACTGAACAGAAAAATCCAGAGTTGTTTGAGGCCCTGGCGCATGTAGGATTGACGCTGAAGCACTGAGGGAGCCTTGAGACAGGGGTCTGGACTCGGTATTAGCACTTACCCCTGCCACAGCCATGTTCTTACCTCACCCATTTCTGCTCACCTTCTCATATTGATATACATTTTACCTTACTCTAGATATTTTTCTTTCATTTCATTGAAATGGGCATTTTATTGGCTGAAAAATGTCCTATATAGGTAAAGTTATCTATGAATTTCATGTCAAGATTTGAGGCAGTACAAGGCTGGGGTTGAGGCTCAGCGGTAGAGTGCTTGTCTAACATATGTGAGGCCCTGGGTTCAATTCTCAGCACCGCATATAAACAAATAAAATAAAAAGGTCCATTGGCAACTAAAAAATATTAAAAAAAAAAAAAAAAAAAGATTTGAGGCAGTACAAAAGGGACCATAAGGGTAAATGTGTAAAACCACTGGTCTAGAGTACAAGAATATAACTTGTCCTTACAGTTGTTCATCCTTCTGCTTAATGTTACTTTTAATTATAACCTGACTTCAACTAGTGAAAACTTTGTCAGGATCTTGGAATCTTCCAATCGGCAAAACAGAGTGCACTGCACTCCTCATAGTTGTCATTAAGCTAGTGCAGATATCTTAATATGTCCTATACTTTGCTGGAGGAGCCACAAGTTTGAGACCAACCTCAGCAATTTAGCGAGGCTCTGTCTCAAAATACATAAAAAAGATTGCAGATGGAGCTTGGTAGTAAAGTGCCCCTTGGTTCAATCTATAATTCCAAAAAATGAAAAAATTTCTTTGGAGTCTTTTATATTTCAAATTTTAACTTGATCTGTCATAATAACAATGAGTATTAAAAAGTGTTTTGCTACTGTAAACTTCATTTTTAATGTTTAGTTGCTATTTTAGCCAGTTCAGGTGGCAAAATTGTGGTGTCACTGTTTTAAATGAGCAAAAGGTAAGTGAGAGTGGTCATAGCTAAGGTCTCATCTCTTCAGAGTTGTGTCTGAATATCAAGTGACTGATGGCATGTAGCAGTGCAGCCATGGGCCTAATGGATTTTATGGAAGTTAGTTTGCATCCTCTGCTTCTTAAGCATTGAGCGGAATGTTTGGTGAGCGCACCTTTGAGAGGTGGTGTGCCTCTGTTCAGGCTTGAGTTCTGCTCTCTGACATATTCTGGGGACAGACTATGCGGTTTTCAAGGCCTGGCCAGTGTTTTTCCCATCAGCCAGTTAGTTCAGCTCACTTTCATCTCATGCACTCCACTGCAAGGTAGTGTCAGTTGCTTCCACAGAGATCTTCAGTAAAACATACCAGAGCTTAACCTGGGCTGAGCTGTTTGCAGTTTGTTTACAGGGTTTCTGTATTCACTACATGTCCCATACTTGAACTCTCTGACATCATTGTTAGTAGTACCTTTCACTGAGGACCAGTTGAAGTAAAAGTTGAGTGCAACATAAAAAACTGGAGTCGGGCAGTTGTGGACTGCTCTGCATCGTGGGTCTCTAAAAATAGTAGGATTTCATGGAGCAGTTGGTAAGTCGGGAATGGACCAGATCACCTCATAAAGTCCCCCTTGAACTTGAGTTCTGATGGTTCCATGTCAGTTTCTCTCCAATCTTTCTTTTCTCTTGTGTAACTTACAGTACATAATGGCAATCATCTAAGCTGTAATTACCCAGTAAATATTTGCCACATTATCAATTAATAGTCAATTACAGGTTTACCCAAAATTCGTGGCTATGAACCAGTATCAACATCTCCCAGGTGCTCCTGTTCTCCACCTCTATCTTTTGGGACCTGAGAGGTTCGCACCTGTTAGTTGGCCTTGTTGCTAGATGGCAGAAGTTTCCAATTTTCTCCTTTCAATCTAAGCTGCAGTCTGCTCTAAGCAGAACTGTGTGGGTCACTATTTCACCCACTCAGCTTTTACTTCAAAGGTTCTGTTTCCAAGCAGTGGTGTGATTTCTCTTTTCTGGCGAGAATTAAATTCTAAAATGTGATTTCTGAGCAGTCAAAAGGAGAATCTAACTTTAGTCCCTAGCATCAGAGAGAACATACTGTTTCAGACCATGTCCACATATTGGGCACCTCAGGAGGCAAAGCCCTTGATTTCTTCATCTTATATGAGTCACAGGTTGTGGTGAAGTGTTTTGAGGCTCTTGGATGAGCACTAATGGACCAGCATGAAGTATTCTGGTATGATGTTAGAAGAGTGTTAAGAGCCATTAACAGTAGCAGTAGTTTGCAAGCAGGGTACACCTGACCAAAAGGCAAAAGTAGATCTGCTTTGTTTTTGAAAGCTTCTCTCTAGTATGGACAGAGTCATGATTGTTATTCAAAGCAGCCTACAATCAGATGCTTGTCGGCCATGCTGCTTCCCTTAGGAGAGAGACAGTATCACCAGGTCAGCTCCTTGGGATGTAGTACTAAGGGGAGTACATAGTGCAGCGCGGGGAGTGCAGGAGAGCCAAGAGTTCTTTCCCCATGGATGTCAGTTAACACACATTTGCTAGAAAGGCTGAACATGCCTGGGACAAATGACATTTTCAGAAAGACCAACAGCACTGATTAGACACTCACCAGAGATCCAGTCTTTTCCAGCATCCTGCACCCAAAGCCCAACAAGAAAGAACTTATTCTGGGAGTTTAGAAATCTGTTGGGGACTTTCACCTTTGAATTGCTGTCACATTCAGCAAATGAAACTTCCAGATACACAGTGAAACTTGGATTTCAGATGTATACTAAAATGATTTGCTGTCTGACTGAAATTCAAATTTAACTGGACCTCCTGAATTTGATATGGGAGCCCTACTGGGGAAATAAGGCAGATTGAGACTCTTCGAATTTCTTGAGCAGCTGCCATTTCCATGAAGGCCACAGTCAGGAGCTGTTGTTGTAAAAAGAGGAAGAAACTTGAACAAGTCAAGTGCTTACAAGATAAACAGGACTCTACCAGGACTTTTCTTTTTAGACAAGAGTTCAGAATTTCAGTGTTCCAGTGAGCATGTAAATGTCCATCTAGAATTTCAGTAGAGACTGTATAAATCATTACAGTTTTTTTGTTTGTTTTTTTGGGAGATTTATTTTTGTTGATGGATTCATGCCCAGCTTGCATTTTTCATTGTTTACTGAGCTGTTTTGTTTTTTAAGAAACCTGCTAGGTATGTTCCATAAAAGATTGTTATTTGTCAGGTAAAGTGGTGTAAACATGTAGTAATCCAGCTGCTATGGAAGCTGAGAGGCAAGAGGATCACAAGTTCAGGGCCAGCCTGGGCAACTCAGAGAGACCCTGTCTGAAAATACAAAATAAAAAGGTCGGGGGATATAGCTCCATAGTAGAGTGTCTCTGGGTTCATCCCCCAATTCTGGGGGAAAAAAATCAAAGATTAATCTTCAGTATTGGCCTTTAATCTGTAAAGGGCCTAGCATCTGCTTTGCAGCCTCCTAACACTGTTCCTAACTCTTTCATCTGCCCGCCCACAGACTTAACAATAATAAAGAGCTCTCATTCTCCTTCTGTGTGTATGAACAGAATGCCTTTATTTTGTTAATTTTTATGTGGTGCTAAGGATCAAACCCAGTGCCTCACGCATACTAGGCAAGCACTCTGCCACTGAGCTACAGCCCCAGCCCTGAAGATTTTTTTTTTTTGACTCTTCATAGCCACTGTTTTAAGAAGTGTAAATGTAGGACAAAAATATAAACTGCCATCTGTATAAGAACCACGCTCTAACTCTGCCACTGGAATTCCATAAACTGAGGGATTTGTAATTTGTATTCTTATAGATGTACTCGATTTGTGGGGCTTTGGGGTGTTTTTTGTTTTGTTTTGTTTTTTTGGTACCTGGGATTGAATCCAAGTCCAATATACACTGAGCTGTATCTCCAGTTCCTCTTTTTTTTTTTTTTTTGAGATGGGGTCACACCATGTTGCCTGGGCTGGCCTCAAGCTTGCAGATCCTCCTGCTTCAGCCTCCCAAATTGGTGGGATTACATGCGCTACCCCACCCACATAAATGTACTAGTATTTTCTTGTGAGTTCTTGTAGTTTATTTAAATTCATTTAAATCATATCTTTGAAAAGTAACCTTTATTGTTTCTGATACCAGTACTTTATTTTTATAGGTTTTTACATGTTAGATTCTGCCTGATGCCTATGTTAGGACAAAAAAAAACTAGTGCTCTCTTGGTGTGTGTATGTGTGCTACTGGGCAATGAACCCAGATTGCTTAGCCACTGACCTACATCATTAGCCCTTTTTATTTTTTAAATTAAACAAAAATTTTAGTTATTGATGGACCTTTATTTTATTCATTTATTTATATGTGATGCTGAGAGTCAAACCAGTGCCTCACACATGTTAGGCAAGTGTTCTACCACTGAGCCCCAGCCCCCTTTTTATTTTTTATTTTGAGACAGGGCCTCCCTGTTGCTGAGAATGGCCACAAACTCATGAACCTCCTGCCTCAACCTCCTCAGGGATTACAGATTTGTGCCACTGTCGTGTGAAAGCTTTTCTTTTTATTTTTTTATTTTTTTTATTTATTCTTTAAATCACTTTAATATTTATTCTTTAATTATCGGCAGACACAACATCTTTGTTTTGTATGTGGTGCTGAGGATCGAAACCATGCCGCACGCATGCCAGGCGAGTGTGCTACTGCTTGAGCCACATCCCCAGCCCCTGAAAGCTTTTCTTAAAAAAATCCAAACTCCTATTCATCTTTCATCCTTCAAGGCCAAGCTCAGCTTCTACTTCTTTATGGAATATACTCTAGAGGGTTTTTGTTGTTGTTGTTGTTGTTGTTGTTCTATGAATGATTTTGGCACCAAGTAGAAAATATTTTTTAAAGCATGAAAAAATATATTACATTACAAAGAAAATTTGTTACACTGAAATGTAGTGATCAAGGTAGTTTTAAAGCCATACAAGTTGGTGCGTGCCTGGAATCCAGCTACTTGGGAGGCTGAGGCAGGAGAACTGCAAGCTGGAAGCCAGCCTGGGCAACTTAGAATTTAGTTCCAAATAAAAAAGGATAGGGATGTAGCTATGTAGCTATGTAGAGTGCTTACCTGTTTAAGCCTTGAGTTCAATCCCCAGTACTGCCAAGGGGAAAAAAAACCAATGTTTAATGAGTATAATAATGTATATTTCTCTCTCTCTCTCTCCCTCCTCCTGCCTCTTTTTTTTTTTTTTTTTTTTTTGTGGGTGGGGGAGCGTACTGGGGATTTAACCCAGAGGCATTTAACCATTGCCACACCCCTGGAACTTTTTATTTTTTAATTTTTAGTTGTAGATGGAGACAATACCTTTATTTTATTTACTTATTTTTATGTGGTGCTAAGGATTGAACCCAGTGCCTTACAAATGCTAGGTAAGTGCTGTACTCCTTTTTATTTAAACAGGGTCTTGCTAAGTTGCTGGGGATGGCCTCAAACTTGTGCTCCTCCTGCCTCAGCCTCCCAAATCACTGGGATTATAGGTGTGCATTACTGAACCCAGCTATATTTCTTCATTCAATAACATTAAGTAATAAGATTTACCAGTATATATAGTAACTACTAAATTTTGAAATAGTGATAGAAATAAGCTTTTTTTTTTAATATATCTTCAAGAAGTATAACATGATGTGAAAATATCTCTTTCTGTTTGTTGATGCCATAAAATTGTGGACACTACTTGATTTGTTGCCTGGGATTTATGATTAAAAGGAAATACTGAATTTTAAAAAATATTTTTAAATTGTAGATGGATACAATGCTTTTATTTATTTATTTTTTAGGTGGTGCTGAGGATCAAACCCAGTGCCTCACTCATATGAGGCAAGTGCTCTGCCACTGAGCTAAAGTACCAGCCCAGAAATACTGAATTTTGATTAGAGATTATTGAAAATACACCTCTCCTCTTCTTCCAAGCTTGTTTCAATTAGCTATGACCCACCACTGTTCTGGTGGCTCACGATTGCTGTTCTGTGCTGGGAGCTGGACGTGAGCACTTAGGAGATACTTTTCTTTGCTGTAGTTGTGTTGGCTGCAGCGTGTCCCTTGGGTGGCCTGTCACGACTGGGGTCTAGTATTGTTGCTGACTGGGGGGCTCTGGGTCTCCTGTGAATAGGCTCAGTCTCTCTCCCCTGTGAACTTTCCTCATTGACTGAGCAGCTTTACTGTCTAGTCTGTGCTGTCTGCCTCCAGGAAGGCAAAGCAGGAAACATCAAGCCTTCTTAAGGCTTAGCCCTTAAGAAGTTAGTTACTGATTGAATCTAGTGAAGAGGAGTAGAGAGAAAGGCTCCACTTGGGAACAGTTGGCAGAATCCCATTGCCAAAGGCATATGGCCTGGGAGCCAGCTGAGGAGATGCTCTGCCACAGTTCATTTTCTGGTCACAGCAGCTCACACCCTCCCTTTGAATGTGGGCTGGCCTGCTTGCTTTAGGATGGTAGCAGTGATGTTGTGTTGGTTCTGGGATGATGAAATTCTGCCAGGAATTAGTATTAAAAATTGCTATGAAACCTGAATAAAAAGTATGGTAATCTGTAGTTCTGTAGAATTCTTCCCATTTATCTGCATTTTAAAAATATATAAGTGGTCATGTAAAGGATTTTGTACATAATCCTACCATCTACATTTTAATTCCTCTTCTTTATTTGTATTTAGAAGTGATCCCTGTCATTGTTTCATGTACAATTTGTTCAGTTTTTTAAAAATCTCAACTTTCAAGTATTACACTTTTATTTTTTAGTTGTAGATGAGCACAGTACCTTTATTTATGTATATGTGGTGCTGAGGATTGAACCCAGGGCCTCTCACATGCTAGGCAAGTGCTCTGCCACTGAGCCACAGCCCCAACCCTCAAGTATTACACTTTTTAATAACTGCATCTTTCTGGTTTACTTAATAGTCACTGTCTAGTTGGTCATTTTTATGGCTTCCAGCATTCCTCAATTATAAATAAATAATATTATACAAAATATTTGCAAATGCAATTTTGTTATGTTTCTAAATTATTGCTCGCTAACAAATTCCAAGGAATGCAAGCATATGATTATAGACCTACCGAACCTGAAGTCTTTGAGGTTTTATAATTTTTCTTCATTTTATGCCAGAAAAGTTTCATTTAATTTGTATTTCTTGTCATTAGCAAAGTCAAGCTTTGCCCTGTGAGTCTAATTTTGTTCCCTCTCATGTTAGTTGTCTGTTCCATCTTTCTTGTCAGTTTTTCTACTGTGATTTTATATGCTTGTGTATCCTTTGTGTCATACTGATTATACATTTTTCCTTATTGTTTTTATTGTGTGCTGGTTTTGATTTTTCAGCATGTAGGCAGTTTTGAAAACCTTAGAACATTGCATTTATGGCCTTTATTGGGAGATGAAATTTTTATGTTCCATTTCTTCCATTTTCCAGGCACCCAACGGGAGGATCTTTTATTCGTCCAAACAAGGTAAATTTTGGAGTGGACTTTCTTACTGCAGTTAAGAACCGCTATGCATTAGAAGATGGATCAGAAGACTATGGGGAAGAGCAAATAATTATAATTGGGAAGAAACCTGTGGAGACCATTGGTTTTGACTCTGTGATCAAACAGCAGAGGTAAGTGGAGCTGATAGTGGTGGAGCTAAGTTTGGCATTTTTTTCCAGCTTCTGGGTCAAAATTGCCCGACTGCCTGTGGACACTCCTGACTCTTCCAAACTGGACTATCCTTTCTACGGAAACAGCACACTGAAATCTGAGCAATCTGAGGATTCAGTGTTCCAGGAAATTAACATCTTTATTTAGTGCAGGGTTGTATTTTTCTGGATTGGCATCGAAACACTAATTTGTCCATTATTAATATTTTCACCATATTATCACTGTGGACTACTCTATAACTGAGGCTGATATTTCAGCGCTTTTCCAATTCATGGTTCAGCTTATGACAGGTTAGGTGTGGACACAAAGCGACTTGCCACTGTGTGGTAGAGAGAACAGGTACCACCTGTAAGATTGGTTTTCTCTTCTGCACATTTTAATCTTAGGAGCTTTGGGACCTGCAGAATCCTGGGTCTCATCCCGACCCGCAGAATAAGAATTTTGGGGTGTATACTTTAAGGAATTTGCTCCTGAGAAGTGCCTCAGTCTGGGAGGGCACTAAGTAATGTCTTTTACAGCTGCTGTGCCAGTGCATTCTCTTTTCTCTGAAACTGTGCATGGTAACCCTGTGCAGAGGGGTGTACTACTTGTTGTGATGGATTCAGAATTAGAGAGTGGCAGCTGATGTTTACACAGACTCAGCACCATTGCACCAGAACCTGGCAGGCTACTCAGGGAAGGGACAGTAATGCCCTGGTGACTGACTGAACTAGGCATCAGCACAGTGACCCTGGTAGGTATGTGTGTGTGTATATATATATACACACACATATACATATATATATATTATATATATATTATATGTATATT